TTTTTTAATGTTTATTTTTGAGAGAGACAGATCATGTGCAGGGAGGGGCGGGGGGTGGACAGAGGATCCGAAGGGGGCTCTGCACTGACAGCAGGGAGTCCCATGCGGAGTTTGAACTCACAAACCGTGAGATCATGACCTGGGCCAAAGTTGGCCACTCAACCCACTGAGCCACCCAGGTGCCCCTCATGACAGCTTTGTTAAAAGATTTCTATCCTTGCCTTTCAATCCATTCCTCATTGTAAAGCCTTACAAAATGTATTCAAACTTTATATATAAACCTGAAAACACAAGAATACGGGTGAACATTTTACAAAATGATTTCTGTTAATGCTCAGTGCTGAATATTGTGTGCAATAATGTAATTATTAGAAAGAGGGCACTGTGGTATTGCATTCACCAATTGCATTTACCAATTTACCACTGTGGTATTGCATTGTGATGTCTCATGAATTCCAGAATAGTCCCTGTAAGAATTTATAAAGGAAAGCAGGGAAGTTTGATGGTCCCTTTACACTTCACTTCTCCTTAAAATGCTACTGAGATTAGGAAGTGACAACTTCAGACCTTCTATTGTCTGGAACCAGAAGGAATCTTTACAAATGAGTTGGCCCATCCTTGTCAGCCCCACTCATATTTTTTTTTTATTTGAGGCTCATTAAATTTGAAGAATGTGTTCTCAGCCACCTCATCAAAATGCTCCTTAGACTTAAGAAGACACAATTCTTAAGGTTCTTTTTTAAGCCAGTTTTACAAGTGACGGTTGATTTGGTAGGGATATTTTGTTACTGAACATGTTTTCATCCGCTTGGAACATTTAGGAAATGTGAACGTGTAAAGCTGCCTTTCTGCACCATCCGGCAGTTTTTATCTGCTCATACTGGATATAAAGATAATTCACAACGGTCCTTAAATCACGAAATGCTATTGCCAAATGATAATATTCTGTTTTACAATGAGACAGGTTATTCAGATTAACGTGACAGTAAATCAATGACAAAACAGATTTTTAAACATCAGTCTTTCACAGAGATGGTATGAAGTTTAGATAAAAGCCAAGATACACATATGAAAACCTTCTCAGTTCAGTGTTGATTAATTACACGTAGAGCCTAGACTGAAGCATCTGGTTCTCCCATAGCCGCATTACCAAGATATCTCCATTATTTGTTTGATATAATATATAAAATACAGTTTAATCAAAAAAGAAAGTACAAGATGAAGTGTGAATTTTTCATTGGTTCTAACAGACCCTTTATAAGGAAAACTGCGTGATGACTAGCCAGTAGGAGAGGAATGGATGGTGTTTGGAAATATAACATTTATTTCTCTAAAGTGTTTACAAAGCTTTCTGGCGCATCATGACCAGATGTTAAGTATTGTGCTTTCTTACAAATGAAATTATAGGATCTTAATTGTCAGAATGGAAGGCACGTTAGGAAGTATCACTTTAACTCTTCTATCAGGTGTTGCATTTGACAGCAAGTAGCAGAGTTCTGAGAAACAGTGGCTTAATCAGACAGGGCTTTATTTTCCCTGCATATAAAGTGGGCATCCAGAGAGGAGCTGTTGCTCATCAGGCTGAGGTCTGTCCAATTCTCAAGACTTTCCCTGGAGCTTGCAAGGAGCTGTTGGGACTCCTACCATTAATTATGAATTCCAGGTAGCAAAGAAGAAAAACTGAAGGAAAGGAAGAAGGGGAAGTTCCTGTGCCGGGAAGACAAGAACTCAATATCCCAGTAGATAGTCATCTCATGTCATTGATGGAAACCAGTCATTGTCCACCTCTGTCAGGGAAGGTTGGAAGGCAGCTTTTAGCTGGGCACAATGCCAACGCTCACAGAATTAGTCTGTTAATAAAGGAAGAAAAGAAGGTTCCTCTCCCCATACCTCTCTGTTACAGTCTCTGCCACAATCTATATCTTACAGAGATGAGGCGATTGGCTTAGAGAGGTTAAGCAACTTTACCTCTGTCTCCAAGCTGGTGGCAGAGTCAGAACTTACGGAGCATGAACATATGCCCTCTTGTTTTCAACTGAGGACGTGGGGATGGGTGGGAAAGGAATGGGGGTCTTCTGAAGTTCTAAAGAGTTTGCTTTAGCAAGAGCATAATAAGAATGGGGAAAAGAAATCACGGATTCTTCAAAGTTTGGCACATCGATGTGACAAAAATCACAGCGATTTGATTTCCCTTTAGAAATGGTGCAGCGAAAAATAAAGGCACAATTCCTAACACAAAAATGAAGTCATACTGTAACCGTCAAGGCATTAAAATTTTGAGTCTGTTTCTCCAAAGTAAATAATGGACATGTTTCCTCATACAAACCTGAACTTACTACTGTAAAAATTGTGGTCCTCTTCCTCCCCATAGAGGGATCAGCCCTCAACTTCCTGAGGAGTGTGCCTAAGGACCAGTGATTTTGACGGTAGTGGTAGCAGAAAATCAAGATTGTGCTTGAAGGGCCTTCCTCGGATTCTCTCCCATTGCCCAGATGATAAAATGTGTTCTCTCGGAAAAGGGCTGTGAACAGATGTTGACTTTCACAGATACCATTCAGCCGTTCAAGTACCTGTTAATGTACATACGTTCAAGAATGCAACACTATATCTGGTTATGTGTTAATCTGAGAAGAGATTACTTATTACTACTTATAATCTAGTACCACAAAGGAGGGAGATATGCAGAAACCTGAAGGAAATGTTTTCCAAAAATTGTACAGCCGTAAAACTATCCCATCCGTGTTATAGACAAGAAAACTTCAGGCCAGCAAAACAGAAATTACTTGATTTAATTTGTTTAGGAAAATATTTGTTTTCATTTTAATATATATTTAAGTTATATATAACTCCAGGGGTTATGGTCTCGTATCTTTCCCAACACGAAGACGTATTTGAATGTTGTCGTGTCATCTGAAATTGCAGGTATCTTATGTTTCTCCTCCATTCATGGTCAATGTCTGGCATATAAATGGGGGGCCAAGTTTCCTAGTCAGAAATTCAGTATTGTAAGTGATTCATTTACAATTGCAGTGGGAGAAACTACAGATGACCACCAGCGAAAGGAGGAAAATATTCTGCTCTGTCACATTCCACGTAATCGCGATCACCTGTGTGGTTTGGTCTTTGTATGTATTAATAGATCGGACAGCGGAAGAAATCAAGCAAGGCAATGATAATGGTAAGAGCATGTCTCTTTTCTTTTTTCCTCCTATTGGTTTCTCTGATGACATCAGAGGTGGGTAGGGAAGCTATTTCCCCTGTTAGGTCTTCATGTGTGATAAGCTAGCAAAAACCAGTACTGGCAATTAAGTCATCTCCAGTTATGTTATAAATACTCTGATTGAATGCCTAGGGTCCCACGCTGAGGTACGAAATTTATCAAGTCCATATAAACATTGGTAGAGAGAAATATATAGATGTCATGCATCACTTCAGGCTTTTCAGGAACTGATTAAGAATCATGTTCTGCCTAGGGAGCCTGGGTGGCTCAGTTGTTAAGTGTCTGACTTCAGCTCAGGTCATGAACTCATTCATGGCTTGTGAGTTCAAGCCCCACATCAGACTCTGTGCTGACAGCTCAGATCCTGGAGCCTGCTTCAGATTCTGTGTCTCCCTCTCTCTCTGCCCCACCCCTGCTTGCACTCTCTCTCTCAAAAATGAATAAACATTAAAAAAAATTTTTTTTTAAATCATGTTCTGCCTGATGTGAAAAAGCAAACAGTTGTGAAAGTGGAAGTTTTTTCATTTAATTTAATTCACTATAGTCATTGCTTCTTTTAAAACATGAATAAGACTATATTCTACTAGAGAAATGTGTTATACCTTATTAATTAGTACCATATAATTTGATAGGAGTAGATTAACACTATGGTTTGAAATTTTAGCCATACTGAGTTTAATTGTGAAGGATGGTGTCAAGCCTGCAAAGAAAGCTGTTTAAAAAATCATTAAGGCAGATTCTAGGATCTGAAAAAGATAGGTCATTTAAAGCAGAATAAAAAATAGAATGCTTATTTTCACTTCTGAATGTACTCAGCTCCATTTCTCATCAGGCTCTACCAGCTTCCGCATATGGCATAAATCATAGCTGGTAAAACAATGAGAAATATTCCCAGAACCACCCCCACCATCAACCCTTGAAAAAAACAAACAAACAAACAAACAAACAAACAAACACAATATTAAGCCACTGGTGAATTTAAAAAGAGAAATTGTTCAGATGATAACACTGTAAGTTTGTAGTATTCTCAAAAATGCCTATTGCTTCCCTCAAAGAAAGAAACTGAAAGAAATAAAAAGGTGACAGGAAGTTAGGGAGAGGAAGTGAGGGAAAGAAAGAAGAAGGAAAAGAATATTAAAAGCAAAAGTTCTGTTATTTCTGCCTTTCTTTGGGTTCCTAAGAGCAGGAGCAATGTGCCATTCTCACGCTTGCCCGCTCGGTGGCAGCAGGGAGCACCAGCGCGAGCTCTGGGCGCTGGAGAAGCGTCTGGGGAGGAAGGGACTGTGAGGACCCGCCTGCTGCGCGGCGATGTGGTGGCTAGGAAAACGGGTCGGGGCAGGTTGTGTTTGTGTTTCAGTTCCATATGACAGTGATATTTACAGTGTATACCAGACTAGACTGTTTACAACTACATTATGCATTACTCCTGAGATACTGGATTTTTAAAAAATGCCTGTTACATCCCTGGAATAAGTTTCCTGAGGATAGGACTTTTTCTTTTTTTTTTTTTTTTAACCCACGCCCCCTATACTTACAGGGACGGGCCCAAGCTAAGTAACAGAAAGCGTGCCATACACAGCAGTCATGTATGTATAGAACAACAGCGAGGCACCCCACCACCACCCTCACCTTAGCACACCCCGGTATAAGATCTTCAGACTCAAGTGTTTTCTTAGCGATCAAGGGCAGCCCTGACAGCTAGGGATCAGTAGTTGTAGATGTCTGATTTAGAGTTCAGTGTTTGAGAATCATAGATCGGCCCCAGTGTAGCCCTGCCTTCTCCCAGCGGTCACCATGATACCAGCAGGGCTCCTCCTGTTCTCCTCTGGCCACATGAGAGGGAAGGAAGATTATGAGCACCTGTCCTGGACAAAATGAGAAGCAATCTTGTGTCACCCATATACAGACAGTCTAGAACCTCTCCCTTACATTCATTTACTCAATCCCACTTCTGAGACAAGTGAGTGAACAGTGATCATTTCTCCTACAATGAACAGGACTATCTCAACTTCAGCCAACCAAAGTCTCCAGAACCCAAGAAACCCTTGGCCCCAAGCTTCCTTCCATTTATCTCACTCTGCCTGCTCATTCTCCAGTGCTCCTGGATACCCTTATGTCTTCAGTTGTCATTGCTATGCTGAGAACCAAACTCCAAATTTATCTCCAGCTCGTACTGCACTCCAGATCAGGCATCGACCTCCTGAACATCTCCATTTAAAGGTCTTCCAAGCACCCCAAACTCAATGTGTCCAAACTTTTAATCTACTACCACTGTCCACCCTAACACCTGTGGGAAAGGCATTACTACAAACACCTGTTGCCAAATCCATTTGGACTGTCATTTCTCCTCTCCCTCTCCCCAACTTCTGCCTTCAGTCAATCACCAAATCCTATTATTCTGCCTCATTGGTCTCTGGAATCTGTCCCTGTCTCTCTTTCCTGACTGCCCTCATCCTTGTGCAAACTATCCTTTTATTTGAACACTGCAACAGCATCTTTACTAGACCTTCTCCAGTTCTGCCCACCTTTAACCCATGCCCAATAAGGTATTCATTGCAAATTTACAAAACACACATCTGATCACATTCTATCCCTACTTAGCCATTACTCTTAAAATGTATCCCAAACTCTTTAATGTAACTAAATTGCCCCCTTCCCTGCCCCCACCATGACCTGGTTGTAGCCAATTTTTCTGAACATTCGTTCAGCCCCACAAATGGGGCTCTAGACCTTTGCTCAGCTTTTCCCTCTACATGAAACCTTCCTCCAGCTTCTGTCCACCACACATTCAAACACTGCTCTGTGTTCTCACACCACTCAACTCCCACTCAGCCTTTGCAGGTTGCCTTAAATATCACTTCCTCTGGGACACCTGGTTCAGCAACCTGAGCTAGAACAATTGTTACTACCATAGTGGTTCTCAAAATGGTTCCTGGGACTGATAGCATTAACAGCACCTGGGCAGTTGTTAGAAATGCAAATTCTTGGCCTCTCTGCACCCCAGACCTATGGACCAGAAATTCTGAGGACAGAGCCCAGTAGGGCTGTGCTTAAGAAGCCAACAGGTGATTCTGATGCCAAGCATTGAGAAACGTGCTTACCTAGCATCCTGCACTTAACCCACTTACTCCATTTTGATTGCATATTTGAATTACCTGTGGAGTTTCTATACCCTACAAAGCCTGAGTTTTATCCCCAGAGGTTTAGATTTAATTATCCCCTATGTCATGGTATTTGCAGACATGATGAGAAGCTCTGCTGTACCAGGAAACTTACCACATACTATTGTAATTGCTCATTTAATTGTAAGTCTCCTGGCACCAATAGACTCTGAGCTCAGGGAAGGACAGA